CACCAAATTTTTGAGACTCCCCACTTCATCAGCTGATAATTAACAGGATTTTGGATTTTTTTGACTTTTTAATTTTTTTTTGTATTCTTCTAATGTTAATAAATAATGTATAAAAAAATGGATAGTAAAAATATTGATTGCTTTTTTTTTACAGCACTCCAAAAATGACCTAAAATTTATGTCTCTAGACCAGAATACCCCCTTAAATGATTGACATATACGCGAGGTAGGATAAAACCTATTATAAAACATATTATCTTTTATTTAAAAGGGAAAAATTCATGCCGTACACATGGCAGCCCGTGAAGGAAATCTGAGGGATTTGCAAAGTGCATTGGATCGTCGCAAATTTGCAATTGCGAGAGACGGATCGTCTCCCCATGGTGCAACAGCTCTTCACGTTGCAGTAGTATTCGGAAATACCGCTGTTATTAGGTTAGTTGTTCACTACTTTCCACTTTGTATCGATTTAACGGCAATCGTTTTAAATTTTGATGTACCGTTTATGTTAGATACCTGGCAGGAAGATTCCCGGAAACGGCACATGCGATCGATCTCGACGGTAGAACGCCATTGCATTATGCAGCAACTTTAGCCGATAACGGCCACTACTACAATCTTCTACTTCATTTAGGAGCAAATCCGCTTGTAAAAGACAACGTGAGTCAATACACGGTTTTTTAATAATTTATAACTGTTTTATTAAAAATAACAATAATATGGTTCCAAGGCCGAGATTCGCATGGAAAGTTTCTCGTATTTTTGCATGGCCGAGAATTTTCATTGCTTTTTTTTTCTTGTTCTTCTTCTTCTTTTTCTTTTTCTATTACAATTTAAAATGTCATGTAAATGACCCTACTCGTCCTATTAATACGCCACGTGCATAATTAATTTCAATCAAAGTTGCCAACAGCGTACTGATTTATACATTGCACGTTATATATTTTTATGGGATATATTTGTTACCATTAATGTGTATAACATAATAAAGTAGGCATTTTATAGAATGTTCAAACTGTACTATATACGGAGTATCATTTAATTGATGGTACAAGCGGGTAGTGATTGATTTTTTTCTATGAGATTATTTTCAAGAAAAATATGTTTGAACATTTGTCATTTATTTGTACACTTTACTCAACTTGTTGTAATCATGAAAATTAAAAGCATAATAATAGAACTGATATCATCGTATTGACAATGTTTGTAAACATCAAAACAGGAATGTAAAAACGCATGCACAAAAAATCCGAAAAAAAGATAGTAAAATTCTCCAAGCTGAATCTAAAACTGGTGCACGCGTATTATATTGGGTTGGCAAGAAAGTACTTGCGGATTTTTTCCATAAAATAAAAGCGTTTTTTTTTTTACTTGTAATGAACTCTAATCTATGAGGTATAGTCCATTTTGTTCGATGACCTTTTGCCATCTCTCTGACAACTTGAAAATTCCACGTTCGTAGAATGTCTCATCTTTTTTGGCCAAAAACTGAAGTAAGTGCGATTTTACAGCGTCATCATCATTAAAAGTTTTACCACRGAGGGAGTTGTCCAGAGATCGAAATAAGTGGTAATCCGATGGTGCAAGATCAGGGCTATATGGTGGGTGTAACATAATTTCCCAACCAATATCCATCAATTTTTGCCGAGTGGCCAAAGATGTGTGCGGCCTAGCATTGTCCTGGTGGAAAATGACACCTTTACGATTGACCAATTCTGGTCGCTTTTCCTTGACTGCTGCATTTAATTTGTCTAGTTGCCGACAGTAGCCCTCCGAATTAATGGTTTGGTTTCTTGGAAGCAGCTCAAAATACACCGGACCTTTCCAATCCCACCAAATTGAGAGCAGAATCTTCTTTTGTGTGATATTTGCGTTTGAAGCGGTTTGCGATGACTCATTAGGCGTGCACCACGATTGTTTTCGATTGACATTGTTGTATACAATCTACTTTTGTCTCCAGTGATGATTTGTTTTAAAAACGGATCGAATTCATTGCGTTTAAGCAATAATTTGCAAACGTTGATACGCTGTGTCAGATGAATTTCTTTCAAATCGTGCGGAACCCAAATATCAAGCTTCTTAACGAGCCCAACACGTTKTAAATGATTCTCAATGGTTGTATGTGAAACATTTACCTTCTCTGCATCCTCCCATGTAGTTACGTGACGATCTGCTTCGAAGATTGTTTTGATTTCATCCTCATTCAGCTTAACTGGTCGACCTGAACGTTGATTATCTTTAAGAGAAAAATCATCAGAATGGAATTTTTCAAACCAATTTTGGTATTGCCTTTCTTTAAGGGCTTCATCACCATACACATCACGTATCTTTTTTGCGGCTTGCCTTGCGTTCTTTCCTTTACGGAAATAATAAAGCAAGATACGGCGAAAATGTTCATTTTTGCACTCCATATTAATATTCAAATAAAGAAAGAGCATTAAGATAATATCTGCGCAATGATTTCATAACGTTAAGTAAGGATTACAGATAACATATATAATAAAAAGAAAATCATAACATTAACGAGTATTATAATAATGGGAGTGAGATATCTATAATCAAAATCCGCAATTACTTTCTTGCCAATCCAATGTATATATATATATATATATATATATATATATGAATTTCTAAATATATAATATTTTTCTCGAAAACAAAGCTTCGTATGAACGAATTGTAATTCTACATTTTCGACACAATTTTTCGTGTGGAATCTCAGTCAATACCCGCTTGTATCACTAATTACAGGACACTATGTAAAAAATCTTCGCGTTTTTTGGCAAAATATGAAATATCCGAATTATTTTATTATTTTTTATTATTTATTATTTKTATTAATGTTATTGTTAAAGTGTGAAATCCGTTAATTTAGAGAATGACTAAATTGACCAGTTAAAGCTTGAAGTAAGGGAGAATTATATATTTTAATTAGTTATTCTATGCATAAAATTTTCACATTGTATCAACTGGACGTAACTTTTAAACTCATTGTATTTTTGAAGTTGTCATATTTTAGTATCAAAAAAAACGTCCATAAGAGTAAAAAAATAACGTCAATGAGAGAAAAAAATAATTTTTTT